TCGGGACTTTCCAGCTGTCAAAAGAAAATAATGCCTCCTCGTTCAGGTTTTTTAGATCGGTTTGCTTTATTTGTTGTCCCTCTTATTTATTGTGTATCCTTATTATTTATCCTTTCTCAGTTAAAATATTTTACCAGGAGTTGACCAAAAGATGGTTAGTCCGTAGTTTGGCAGTTTTTAGAAATTCCTTCCGCTGCTTCTCCACGGCTTTCCGTGTAGACGGGGGTGTGGCGAGCCGGGCTCCGGCCTCCGTGCTGACGGCTGTGCTTCCCCGAGGCAGGTTCACGGCACGGCCCCAGACATCGCGGGCACGGACATGGCCAACCCCACGGCCCTGCTGCTCAGCGCGGTGATGATGCTGCGCCACATGGGGCTGGTCAGCCACGCCGCGAAGATCGAGGCAGCCTGCTTCGCCACCATCAAGGATGGGAAGGTACCGCGGCCTCACAGGCTGGCCCCTGACCCGTGGCAAAACAGACACGATGCAAAGTGCACCTTTTTGATCCTTCCGACACGTTCGGGTCAGTGCTGTTAAGCACTGTCACACTGCTGTGTGACCGCCATCACCGCCCATCTCCAGCCCTTTCCTCATTTTCCTGAACGGAAACCGTCTTCACTAAGCACTGACTCCCCATCTCCTGCCGTCCGTCCCCCCAACACCGCCACACACCCTTTGCTTCATTTATGACTTTGACTCCTCTAGGGACCTCGTGTAAGTGGGGTCATAGATTTGTCATCTTGTGGCTGGATTTCACGTGGCATAGTGTCTTCAAGGTTGGGTCCTTTTTAGAAAATTCTGTAGTTCGAAATGATTTCTTACAGCCAAAACAAAAAATCCGAGCTTGTTTTTGATAGCCTGGTAGCCACGCTGAAGGGCAAGTGATCGTGTTAGTTCTTTATTCCAACGCCGTTTGTGAAGTTACGGAGCCGGTGGACGGCGCCTGCGTCAGGCGTCACCCGCAGCCCTCTGGTAGTTGTGCGGCGTGCGGCGTGCGGGGTGCGGGAGAGCGAGGGGCAGTGTGGCTGTTTGGGGTCCAGGAGGGGGAGCTGCCAGAAACGGGGGGCCGCAGAGAGCCTCTCACTTGAAGAGGAAGTTTCAGAGCTGGTAACTTTGAACATCGCCCAACATTTAAAGTAGGGCAGAACGTCATAAGCTTTTAAACTTGAGGGACCCTAGGGGTTTATGAAACCTCCTGTCTGGTCTGCTCTCGTTAAACGTCCACACCGCAGATGTTCTCTTCAGGTCTGTTGCGGGGACAAAGGCCTTTCCCAGGCCTCCTGGGGCAGGCGGGCGCACCCCTCGAAAAGAGGGGCTCATGCAGGACAGCAGCCCAGTAACCGCCTAGTGGCCTCCTCACCAGGGGTTTTAAATTTGACTGTTGCTCTTTCCTTTCAGAGTTTAACGAAAGATTTGGGAGGCAGTGCGAAATGCTCCGACTTCACAGAAGAAATCTGTCGCCGAGTGAAAGACTTAGATTAAGGCTTCTGCAGGAGCTGTCCACACCAGTCACTCTGGACAGACCCACATGGCCGTGTTAGGACACACACCCCGTTCCGCGTGCGCTTGGCTTGCTTGTTTCCTGCCCGACTACACGCTAGATCTGGCCTTTCCGTAAAAATCTGTGCAAAGGATGCAGATGATGTCCCTTGGCCTCCTTTCAAAGGACTTTTTCCAAATGCTCGTTTTATTTGTTAAATGTCTATTTGGTTATTTGGTATACATTTTTTGTAAACTCTAAGCAGACTGTATTGTTTGCCATTGTGAACCATTTTACACTTCAGTTAAAAGTTTTTCCTTCGCTGTAAATACGATACAGAATTAATAAGAGAAAACTTCTAACTTTTTAAAGAGAAAGTTTTCCTTGGTTTACGAAAAATATAATAGACATAGAACGGTATTGATATAATAGCACCGATGACATTCTTATCAGTGGACGGGCACGAGAGAAGTTTCCTAGGAAAAGGCTCACACTCAAAACGGAGTACAGCCTATTTCTTAGTGACATGGAAAATTAAGACAGATTTGTCCTTTATATGAATTACTGAATATGAATAAAGACTCCAGATCAAAGAAATCTGTAATGAGATGTAATTTTTGTTACTAAGATACAGGTAACATATTGGCCACAAAGACACAAATGCATTGTTTGACTGTTACCTTGAGATTTGCTGTTCCCTTGGGGGGGGGCGCTTCCTTGTCACCCGATGCTGTCGAGCACCATGCGTGACACAGCCGGGGAGCCCCAGGACTGGCCCGGTCAACGTGGGAGCTGACCACCATGCGTGGTGACGCTCCTGCAGCATGCGTAATCACACTCCAGCTGACCCTGCTAACAGGCCTGACCCCAGGGCTGTCGATTTTGTCCCTTGGCACCAGGCCCAGCAGACTCTGCCCTGGGGAGGCGAGGCTCGGCATTGACCTTTGGGTACCTTGCCCCACCCCCGCCCATAGCATGATTTTTCTACATCTTCAGACACTGAGTCTCTCTCTATTATATTGAACACTCATCCTTTGGCCCTAAACCAAAGGCAACTCATGACCTCCCTTGCCCCTTGTGTAATGTCACAGACCCGTGGCTTTGCATAACGTGCCCGGGTCATGGAGATTTCTTAAGGACAAATATCCCTGTCTGGGTGCCGCTCTAGGCTCGTAACCAGACTTACAACCTTACGTGTACTGTGCTCTGTGCAAGCTGCCGCTTCCTCTGTTTTATGGGATTGTGCTAATTATTTTGGGGCTCGCTAATAAAGAATTCCAAAACTGACCGAGACACATGCTTTCTCTCCCTGTTTCCGTCAGATGCCTCGGGTCGGTGTGGCTCGGCTTGTACTGTGAATGGCAGCGTCAGGTGTCAGGGCAGGGGTGGCAAGGTGGCGGCACCTGCAGAGCCGGCCGCTTGCCTGGAGTGCTCCACCTGACCCTTTGGCGCCTTCGCTCACGCCAGGCGCCAGTGGTCACCCACATGCCTGTCGCGCACAGCCCTGTGGGTTAAACACCCAGCGCTCCCTGGACGGGTTCCACCTGCTTGACAAAAAAAAAATCAGGTCCTTGCCGACAATTCTGTTAAGGAGTTTAACATCCAAATGACACGTGAAATGTAAGCAGCAGGTCTAGGAAGCATCGCGTCAGCTGGCGTGCGTGTGGAGGAAAGCCCAGGAAAGGAGCGGCAGGTCAGCGGATCCCAACCGGGCCCCAGAAGGGGCGAGTGAGTGACAACCGTTGGCTTTCCCGCAGCACACGTGGCAACACGAGCCGACTTCCCCTCCTCCCCACACCGCCTACCCGGTGAGCCAGCAGCCATAAAATCTACCTGGAACTAAGGCCAAAATCTGTCAGCTGTTTAGGTCTGGAAGGAGAACTGGTCTCCTGTCACCTGAACAAAAAGCAACTCTTAAAACTAGACACACGCAGCTTCGGAATCGTCAGCTGTCGTGGGCACGAGACCTAGTGAGTGCACGAGACCTAGCAAGTGCAGACTCCGGTGCCGCAACGGGCCAGGGGGGCCTAGGAGACCCGCCGGGAGTCTGCGTGCCCTGACCCAAGAGGACGCGGGCTCGGGAACACGCCCCCGCCGCCTTCGTGAGACGCCGGGGGACCCGGTCACTTGCCGTGCTCTTGGTAGAAGGAGTCGATGACGGCTTTGTGCTTCTCCAAGACCGTGAACCGTTTCAGTTTCATCGTGGGACCTAAAGGAGCGATTAGAAGAACTGAGTGAGGCCTGGGCTCCGAGACACCCGAGAAGGTACGAGGTAAAGACCTCGCCACTGGCGTGGAGCAGCCAGCCCGAGACGGCCCTCAGCCGTCCGTGCTCCCGCCGGTCACCCCCCCGCCCCCCATGGCACAGCGGCCTTGGTCTGGGTGGCAGTCTGTCACTTCCGAGAACAGTCACGAGAGGCTGCAGCTCCTCTCACATACACAGTGAAGTGTGAGCCGCGTCCACCTCACCCTCTACCCGCGCCCGCTTCTGATCCTCAGCGCATTTGTCGATCTGTCCTTTGAAGGAGCAGAGGATTCGAGCCACCCAGACAGCGAAAGACGAGTTGGTCCAGGCTGCTCAGACCATCCTCCCTGGGGCTGCAGCTGCTGCGTTGTGGGGACACAGAGAGGCCTGTGCAGGGGTCCACTGGTTTGGCCGACAGCCCTCCCGCTCCAGCTGACATTCGCTGTAACCACGGGAGAGGCCCTGCAGGCCGCCCAGCTAAGCGGCTGGGTTTCTGGCCCACAGAAACTAACACCAAGTGCTTACTGCCGGGTCACCTGCTACGATAACGAATACGCAAATCCGTCTGCATCTCCGTTGAGAGTTCACACGATGCTGGGCACCCTGCTTTGACCGCCCCGAGGACGGGGTAGGGGGGGGTGCCCTGGCTGGGGTCGGCTCTGCCACGGTCTCCGTGAGAGGGTGTCCCCGAACCACCTTTCTTGGCCTTGGTCCCCCCTCGAAAGCAACGGTGAAAGGGCTCCGATTTGAGGTTGCGGGCGGCTGAAAGCCCATTTCGTGGGAGCTGACTCTCGGCCGTGGAACTGGGGACCTGGGCATCGTTTCTGTGAATGGCTTAGCGAGGGCATGACCGTCCGGCTGACCGGCACTCCACGTTACAGCAGATGGCCAGACTCACTCGGCACTCTGGACAGTGTGTCAGCATGCGGCCTCGATGGGCTCAAGGGAACCTCGTGAGGACACCGTTTCCGCACCCTGCCCGCCCCCCAGCCGTGGACACCCGGGCACTCTGTCTACCTGGCTGATGCTGCACCAGAGGCCTTGGCTGGTTCTGCGGACCGCGGACCACTGCCCATAGGGGGCTTCACTCCCTTACCTGTCATGGGAGCTGACTTTACAGATTATGGTGGTCTCACTCCCTAGAACCAGGTGACTCCAGCCCAAACATTAACGTGACTTTGGTGCCTGCCTGGTGGTCCCACAGTGATTCCGGGGGACAGTGGTTCCACAGTCAAAGCAAAGTCAAATGTTGTATGTTCAAATTAACGAGTTCCAGCACATGTCCCATAATGTGGCAGGCCCTCACAACCGAGCCCACGCACTGAGCAGTGAATGTCCCCCACGGGGAGGACGTGGGTGTTCATCACCCCAAGTACCCTCAGGGACCTTCCTGCAGGCACCTCGCAGGCTCCGCCACGGCCTCCGCCTTCCCACAGCGCCTGGCAGAGTCGAAGCTGAAGCCCACCTACCCAGCTCTCCACCCGAGACGGAGAAGTCCCTCTCGAGAACAGCTCACTTCTGGATGCGGTAGGGCTGGGCCATCGCATTCCTGTTGACCCTCTG